CGAGATGAGCGTCCGGTAACATCACCTTCCTTCTGTGAGAATTTTTGGTGGGGCCTCCCATCAGAAAGCATTAGGTTCCTCAGACAGGTAGAACTGGCTTTCCCTGCAAGAAGCCCCTGCTGTCTTTGCGGGTCTGAGGCGCTTCAGCCGTCTGTGTGGGTCCAGGCACTCTCTTGCTCTACTTAATCATAAATTAATGAATGACAACACTTCCAGTGCTATCTCACTTCCTTTTCCCACTTTATGTAGCGGGAAGGTGGTGAGAGGTATACGATAATGGTCTGAAAGCATCTCTGTGTGTATGTTAATTGTATATTACCAAATTTGCATGAAGTGTTGATTTTGATTATTGCATGAAAAGCAGATGTGACTTGAAAAATCTAATTAGCCAAAATTACTTGAAAATCTGATTAACTGAATTCAGCACTGATTTGAAGAAATGGCTTTTTACAATGTCAGTAAATTGATGGTACAGGTAGAAGCTTTCACTCTACCACTGCTATGCAGTAAGCTATTCAGTGCTTTCTAAGCAGGGGCACTCCCATGTTCCACGTATAAAGTACTCAAAGTCTATAGCAGAGGTGATAAAATAGGATCTGTGGAACAACTTCTCTTACCTGCATGGTCAAAATTAATCCATCTATTTCCAGCAAGGAAACTCAAATTATAAATATGGTATTACTTAAAATATGAGTAGCTGGATTCTTCAGTGCCTGGGATGTAGTGCTGCTAATTGTCCAGTGAGTTTTTTGTAATAAGATGTATTTCAGCGTCTATTACTGTCATCTCCCTGGCTCTTGTGAAAATGATACTTAAATTTGTGGTTGTTGCCATTACCATCCCTGCAGAGTACATCTGATTTTCATTTTTTTTCCACTTATTTCTATTTTGGGGAATGAGAAGAGTGGGCATTTTCTGGAGTGAATTTGAATGTTGTTTTAAATGCCAAAACATAATTGTGGTTCAATAGCTAGCAGCAAAACCAACAGATAATCTCCATTGTCCAGCAATAAGAAGGGATTGGTCTCATCCCGCTCTGCGCTGCACTGGTGCAGCCCCACTTCAAGTACTGTGTGCAGTTTTGGGTACGTCAATGTAAGGAGGACATCAGACTATTAGACTGTGTCCGGAGGAGGGTGACCAAAATGCTGAAAGGTCTCGAGGGCAAGACTTGTGAGGAGCAGCTGAGGTCACTTGGCTTGTTCTGCTTGGAGAAGAGAAGGCTGAGGGATGGCCTCATCGCAGTCTACAACTTCCTCAAGGGGGGCAGCGGAGGGAAGGGTGCTGATCTCCTCTCTCTGGTGACCAGCAATAGGACATGAGGAGGTGGAATGAAGCTGCATCGGGGGGGTTCAGAGTGGGCATTAGGAAAAGGTTCGTCACTGAGAGGGTGGTCTGTCACTGGAACAGGCTCCTCTGGAAAGTGGTCACGGCACCGAACTTGTCCAGACGTACCTTAAACTCTGACAACGCTCTTAGTCATACGGCTTAGTGCTAGGTAGTCCCGCGAGGAGCTGGGAGTTGGACTCAATGATCCTTATGGGTCCCTTCCGACTTGAGATATTCTACAATTCATTGGCAGCAGGATGCTTTGTGATTGATTTATCAATTCATTGGTAGAACTGAAATATTCCAAAATATTTGAGCTATCCTTTTAATACTTAGACCTAGGTAGTTATTAACAGGACATAAGCCTAAAATTTCCCTGTAGAGCATCCTTTTGCTTTAATTTTTCAGAATATGCTTTGTTAAGTTAGTATTTGTCATGAGAACTTGTGTTTTTACCAGTACACTTAGCCATTCAATCCTTCTCTCCAGCTATTTTTACTCTGTGCATTTTCAGTGGGGCGTCCACGTTTGTCTCAAACTCTGGCTGTGCATCTTCTTGCGTTTGTCTGCAGTGTCTGGCATTTTAGCTTCAGTGTACATAGAGCATTGCCTGATATCTCATCAGCTTCTCTACTAGTTTTAATGAATCTACTCTTGTTTTGCAGAAAAATATTGTCGCATCAGGTTTTTTCCATAGTACCCTAGACTCCTCCTTTGAATGTCCCAGTATCGATCCTCAAGAATATCACCTCAAGAATAGTCTGGCTTCATCTTCTCTGTACTCTGCCTTTAGGAAGCTGAAAACAACAGCAATATTCCCCTGCAGCTGAGCCAGCCTGCTTCTCAGCTGCTCTGTGGGTTTATGTGCTCTGGGCCTCTCACCACCTCGAACGGGCTTTGCTGGCCTTGAAACCGGGGCTGGAAAGCTGAAGCAGGTGCGTTCTCACGGGTGCCTGGTGGAGGGAGGTAATCACTCCCCTCTCCCTGCTGGCCCCAGCCTTGCTGCTGCAGCCCGGCACGCAGCTGACCACCTCAGCTGCAAGGGCACTCTGCTGGCTCATCGCCAACTTTTTCCCCACCAGATCCCAAACATCCTTTTCTGCAAAGCTGTTTTCTGTTCAGCCCCAGCCTTTCCTGCTGCACGGGGCTATCGCATCCCAGGCACTGGGTTTGCCCTTGCCGTTGTTGACTTCACGAGGTCCCTGTCAGCCCATTTTTCCATCTCTCTCTAACCGCAGCCCTGCCTCCCACTGTGGCCACCCCTGCCCCACGTTTGCAGAGCACACTAAGCTTGCTGAGGTTCTTTTTTCCCCTGTTGTTAGTAAAGATGTTAAACAGTATTGGCCCTGGTATTGATCCCCGAGGGATGCTGATGGTGACCAGCCGCTCTTGGACTTTGCACTGCTGATCGCAACCCTTCCAGCACAGCAGTCTCTAACTGGAAGTGTCTAATACTGTCTGGTGGCTAAGAGTGGTGGTATTATTTCTAAAATTGAATAATATAAATGCTAAGTATTAGCATTCTCGGTCTGAAACACACTGTTAAAGATTGTCATCTTTTTACAAAGGGACAGGCTTAATCTTCTCTTGGACTACCTCAGTTTATCTGAATGAAGCCCATATGATTCATGAAGATTTAGGCAAAACTTCATGAAGCGGGTGGTAAGACCCAGACATTTACCCTGCTAAATGAGCCACTAGCTGTGGGTGTCCAGATAAGCACCAGTGACAAGTGACTTCCCGGCAGCTTTTAGTTTGCTGCTGTGAACCTTGTCACCAAAGTGCACTATGCATGAGGAGCTGAAAGCAGAAGTTACAGATCCTGCCCCATATACAAAATATAGCCAGAATCTGTTTGAGGAAAGGAGAGTGAGAATATTTTATATTCTTGCCCTAAAATCTCTGCTAGCTGTTTCTCCTTACGGTGCAGCGAGGGTGTAAGCCTTTAATATGAGTTTACATTCAAGTGAGATTGATTTTCCTGTGGCATAAGACAGCTAGCGGTACCCTGACTGAGGCTTGAGCTGGAGGTCTTAGTGGTAAAATAGCCTGGTAGGGGTGGCAAAATTAAGGCAAACCAAACAGTTTTCCGTATATCAGCAAGGTCTCATCTAGCAAATGGGACTGCTTGCTAAGTAGGCCCTGCTGTTCCAGTTTCTAGTGAGCATTTCTGAATGATGAAACAAATTAATTCCCAGCAGTGCACATAACATTTTGTTGCCCGGTAAGCCATCAAGAGAAAAACCATCAAGCTGTATCCGTTGTTCTAGTAGCCTGTTTTCAGGTCAAATACATCAGTCTCTGGATCAGTTCATATTCTTCTTTTGGTCTGAGTCCACCTTCAAATGTGTGTTCCTGCAAAGCCAGGGACTGAGTAATCGTCTCTCTTTAATGAGATTATATCTGCTCAGTGCACATGTTTATAAGCCTTCTCATTTCACAACTCGCGGTATAAAGTTCAGGCTAATATATAACAGATTTTAGACAGTGCTTTTCTACCAGTAGGGAAGCTAGCCACTCTACAGAAATACTAGTGTACTTCAAGGGAAGAGAGAAACTTGGCCTAAAGAGAGGACAAACAAGTGACAGATTAAATGCAGTGCAGGAAGCAGTGTCAGCAGTCACTCGTGGCTTTACTGGTGGGAACCAGCTGCTATCCTCTCTGAGACCTGACATATCAGAGCTGAGGTAGGGTCTTTCTAAAGATCCTTTGATGGTGGCGATCAAAGCCGAGCAAGCTGGAGGTGACTCAAAGGACTGCCTTTCTGTGGACTACTATAAACGCTGAACAAGTTAGTTCTGAGTAACTAAACTAAAAGTGGCAAAGACACCCCAGGCAGATGGTCCAAAGCAGGACTGGGAAAGTGTTGCCAGGAGCAGAGAGCCTCTGGCAAGGAATCTGAGTTGGCAAAAAGTTGCTTTGCTTTTAATGTGCTGGTTGTGTGTTTTGAAGCTTGTTAGAGATTACCCAGAGAAAGGAGTGAACGAGCAGTGCGGGTTGGCCTGTCTGGGACCAGCCGCTCAATAAAAGTGACATCTGAATTTCAGTAGTGTGCTTAATTCTGGCTTAGTACAAGTAAAGAGGGGAGACGTTACCTAACGGTTGTTCGTTTGCTTGCGGATTTGAATGCAAGCGTGCCTCAAGTTGCAGCAAGGCAAGGTGAGTCATGGGTGGCTTCAGAGTTGGGTAGTGCATTGCTGATGTCTGTCTCTGACTGCACGCATATCCTAACCGGTTGAGGTGAGAACAGTGGTTCATACGCTGAAGGCTAGAGGAAAAGCAGACACCCAAAACCAAGGAAAGCTGAAAATCTAGTACAGCAAAATGAAAAGCTATTTGCCGCTTACAGAAGCATCTTCTGCAATGTATTAAGCAGTCACTCAGTCCTATCTTGAAAATGGCAGATGGATGTTTGCTTTGCTCTTTCTCTAAAGGTTAGTTTGCTTGGCTGTATGACCTCTTTCTTGACTGAATTTCTTATCCTTCCAAGTCTGTTCTGTGCTAAACAACAAAAAAAAATTTCTTCATTCTTACTGAAGTGTGTAACATAGCATGCCTTCCCCAAAACAGTCAGTGCCTCTTTATGAATTTGTGCAAAGAGACCCAGGGTGGAGGTTGGTGTGAGTCTCCTGCAGTTTATTAGAGGCCATCCAACCCCAGGGTGACAAGCTGAAGCGTGATGGTTTTGAAGCATAGGTCAGCTTATCCTCAGGAAAAGGGAAACTTGTTCTGTTTTAAAAGGTCTGTCTTGATTACCAACAGACTGTGGGATTTGGGCATTCATCTAGTGTGAAAATTAATAATTTTTTCAAAAACCTTCACTTTAAATTTTCTGCCCTTTCCTAAGTGTATTCGAAAAGTTTGAACCTGAACATTTTGTGTAGCGAATGACTGAGACGCTTAACGTCCTTGTCCCCGACGGGGTGCTGCTGACCTAGAACCGCACTTCACCGATGCCGCCTGCTCGCAGGGGAACGCAGGCTCCGTCTTTCTGTATCACTGTGAAGGTCACAGCTACATCCGAATTTGATAAAAATAGGCCTTGTGGTCACCTACATGTGGAGTGCAGTCAGAAATTCAAATTTTTTTGTTCTTTGGGGCAGTGGTGGAGAGGAAGTAGCTTTCACTGTCCTCAACTCAACAGTGAAAGATTTGCATCTGAGGTGGAAGGAGGAGTGAAGAGGCAGATCTGAAGCGCTGCTGAAATAGAGCTGTCAGTGCCCATGCCCCTCATGCCTGCCACAGTCTAGTAGGTAACCTTATGCTAGGTTTTGACTGCCAACAGCAAGGCTTTAATACAGAAATGTCTGGATTTCGCCCAGCATAGTAATATACACTGAGGTGGTTCAGTCTGTAAGTCCAGAAGGCCCCAGCGATGGCTCTGCCCATGTGTAGGTACCGTGTCCTGCTTGTTCCTCCACTCCTGGTGTTCCCATACAGCCTTTGTCCTCTGGACAGAGGGTGGCTCCCAGGTCCCATTTCTCTTAGCTTCCTCCCACTTCCATTTCCTGGCCTCTCATCCTGTTTTCCGTCACTTCTAAAATAAGGGTAGGACAAACTGACAAGATTATACGAATCACCTGTTCAGAACTGATTATTCTGTGGTGAAAGCTGTGCTTGGTGCCTGGTGTGCCTTCCCCATATTGTGAGCTTCACAGCAAAAGGATAGCCTGGAAGTGGCTGTTTGCATGAAGGCCCCATCAAAGCCCAAAAGAGCAAAGTCAGGGAGACTGAAATACACTGTTATTTCATGTAGCTAAACTCTTTTAACATCTAAGCTGAATCCCTAGCTGTTACTAACCAGTTAGGAAATGAGAACCATGGTATAAAGTGCCTACTCTAAAAATACATCACTGGGTAAAGTAATTTTCCTTAAAATGTAACCAGAAAAAGCTAACAAGTTGTCTGCTGTTCATTTGCTGAAGAAATTACTGCTCAGGGTTAACCTTTTTTAGGTATCTTGTAAGTCTAATTAGTATTTTTCCTTTTCTGTACTTTCAATGTTAGAACACAATATTTTTAAGGATTTGGCAGTGAGCAGGCAGCAGGAACCAGTCTGCCTTTATGAAAACAAGTACTTACTCATTACAGATGTATATGAGTGATCTCTCCGTCTCTTCTTCTGATTCAACTGAGCATATGGCTGGCCTGTTTTCCTACCGTGGAATATAAACCTTAGCTAGAATATGCACTCTGGAAATCTGGTTTGTACCCTTAAGTATGACCAAAACCACATTGCAGGTAAGTGGTGGTAGAAATAAAGTCTTGTTTTCCTTTGATGTATTTAGATCTGTTATCTGCAGTGTTCATAGCTGGTGCGTTCTCTGGAAGTGATCTCACTTGAGCAGACCTATTCAATAATACTGGAACTTCATTAGCTTTTATGTGTGAAGTGCTACAAATGTTTAAAATTTCTGTTTTCCCTGTAGTGCAGCTACTCTTAATAACATCTGAACACCTAATGCTGTTTGTCAGCAGATTGTGGAGCTGTAAGCTTTTAAATGGCTCAATACCTATTATAAAAACTCAAACGTAATTTTTCTCTGTGAATTTTTCAGTGACATCCCGTGGAACAAGTATCTTCTGGCACTCCCTGCTCATCACTTGAATAAAGCAAAGCATATATTTTCCAGTTTTGTAGCTTGTCTTGCACTGAAACCTATACAGACTTTTTTGTGGCTTTTTCAGAAATGTCATGATAGCATCATGTTGGAGTGTAGAGTATCTCAAGGCAACAGGAATATACCAAAAGGCAAGCATCAGTTTTTAGATCCTTCACTCCCACTTGAGACTGCAAGGAGTTCCAGCCTATTTGAGTGGAAATTGCCTTCATTTTGCAAGTACCGTGACAAAGTGTCCGCTATCTGTAAAACAAGCCTATAAAACGAGTATGAGGAGCCCATTTTGCTGTACGCCATCATTTGATGTAATGTCTTTTCCAGCTGCTTTCTGTCATAATCTGCCTTCTGCATGTAGTAGAACGCTTTTAGGACATGCAGAGGCACTAACAGCTGTTCAGATTCTGGTGTTCCTGTGCCTCAATTAACAGTGGGATTTCCACTGTATTTTAAAAAAAGCCTTAACTAAAAATAGTTGACTGAGTTCACCCTAATTTTAAAAATTTACTTGCTGGTGCAATATAACTTGGTCATGTGGAAAAATATACCAGAAGGTTTGGCAAAACTTACAAGTATAATTATTCAGAGACTTTGATATATGCGGGTTACACGGGAGACTAAAACTTCAGGATTTGATTCAACTCCAATGTCTTTTTCTGTGTTACACAAATTCTGTGTGTTTCTTGCTGAATCAGGTTCTTGGTGTACTTTGTGACAGTGAATAAATTTGAACTGTGCTTTATAAAGAAACTTTCACCTTTGGGCAAAGTTGAACAGAGAACACTTATTCTAAAAGTGGTTTACTGGCAGGCTTTCTGCAGCGTAGCTATAGTAGCCGTCAGAGGTTCAAGGAAGGCTTTTCAGCACTATTTTTTTCCTGTTTACTGTGTTTGAATTGAAGTCAGATTCTTGCATTTCAAGCACTTCATCTTGAATGTCACAGTTTCAGCGCTGTGGAGGAAGAGTTAATGAATGTGGTGCTTTGCCATCAGCCTAACGCTTTGAGTTAAAAATGAGTAAGTTGGAACAAGCATCTGTGTTGG